CCAACGGATCCAGCACGGGCGGCCGCTGGGGCTCGCCAGGTGCTGGATCCGCCACTGCAAAGAAGAAGTCGAAATCTTGTCTGATTCGAAGAAATGTTGGACAAAGGTATTTCTCTTCCTCATTTTTTCCATACTGATTTAAAGAAATCTTGTCTGATTGTCTTCTGATACAGAGTACTCAGCATGTAATTGCATTTTGTTCAACAAGCTGGCCACCTAAAATGTGATTCTTGCATGCTAGTTTAAAATATTTCATTTTGTGTGGGCTTTTAAAGGGAAAGTTAAAGACAAAATCAACAATTGATTATGTGACGATAAAGATTAGCACATAGATTTTTAGACATTCATCCATCCCAGCAGAAACTAAGTCACTATGGAAGCAAATAGGTTGTCACCTTCTAGATTTATATTCTTAATATACACTATTAGTTCTCACAATGGTCAAAATCATAAACCATTTCATTTTGAAGCTAGCACACTCAAAAAACAAAACAACCGAATCAGGTGACCTTTATTTCAATCGGGAAAAATGAGAATATATGTTATTTTTAATTTTACCGTTCACACATTTTCCCATACTGGTGGGTGGAAAAATGGGGGTGATGTGGATTATGTCAAAAGCATGTCTACCAATTTTAGAATTCATGTTTTACAGATAATTTTTGTTGAACAATGAGGTTCATATATGTAGAAGGAAAAAGTTATATGTAGATAATTTTGTTCCCTCATATTATTATTATTATTATTGTTGTTGTTGTTGTTGTTGTTGCTTTTTATTATTATTATTATTATTATTAAATTTGTACCTTCGATTTGTGACGTAGCAAAAGTTATAGGGAAGATGAACAAATCTCACAAAGAAGAAAACTCACAAAAAATTTTATTTCATTCAAATCAATTTGCGGCCTCAAGAGGCTTACAACGTATTTATAGAAAAATCCTAGAAAATTCGGAAATTAAATAATAATAAAAAAAGATTTTTTTTCCAAAAATGGAAAAAAAAACAAGATAATGACGGAAATTAATAGTCCTAATCTTCTGGATTACTCTCCAACAAACGGAATGTAAATTCGAATTTATTTGATTGAGATATACTTAAAATAAGAATTACCAAAAAAAGGAAAAAAGGCCTAAACGAAGGAATTTGCCTGAAATTGGTCCTACATCAAAGCAAAGCATTTGAGTTTAGCTTTTCAGCCCATTTCCAACCGAATTAGACTACAAATTCGTCAAAAATGGACAACTTCAAATTTCCTCCAAATTATTTTTTCTTGCGTCGGTCCCACTTTGCCATGAAGTCCAATTCCTTTTGCACCACATCAATTTGTTATCATAGGGAAAGGAATTTTGGAAGAGGTGGATGATGATAACTTGTTAGAAACGGATAACAACATCATTCTGGAAAGTGTGGACTTAGTGGATGATGGAATTGTAGGAGTAGATGGTGTGATCGTGCCTGAGGTAGGTATGAAGTTCAATGATGAAAAAGAAATGTTTGATTTTTACAAAAAAATATGCATACAATGTAGGCTTTTCGGTTAGGAGAAGAAATTTACAAAAAGATGATGATGGAATTGTGAGATATGTTGTGTTTACATGTAGTCGTGAAAGCCGAAGAAATAGTAACACAAGTGGTTCTTTGAAGCCGCAAGCTACCATTCAAATACGTTGTAAAACCAGACTAACTGCTTCTGTAGATGCATCTGGAGTATGGAGAATTAACACAGTTAATCTCATTCACAATTATAAAATCAGTCCTTCAAAGTAAAGGTTGTATCGTTGTAACAGAGAATTGAGTGCCCATGTCAAAAGACGGCTTGAAGTGAACGATATGGCAGGGATTCCGTTGCATAAAAGCTACAACTCCGTAGTAGTAGAAGCAGAGGGCACGAGAATATGACTTGCATTGAAAATAATTGTCGAAATTATGTCGAACAAGTGAGGATAAGGGTGAGATCTTTTCTACTATACACGTACTGGTGTACTATACTAACAATGTTGCAAAATTTGAAGAAAGTTGGAGTGCGATGATAGATAAATATAACTTGCACGAAAATGACTAGTTGTTGGGAATGTACACGAATAGAGGCAGTTGGGTACCTTGCTATTTAAAGAGCAGCTTTTGGGCGGGAATGTCAACAACACAGCACAGTGAAAGTATGAATGTGTTCTTTGATGGGTATGTGCACTTGAAGATATCGTTAAAGCAATTTGTCAAACAATACAAGCGAGCTTTGAGAAATAAGGTAGATAAGGAGTTACAGGTAGATTTCAAGACTTTCTCGCAAATGGTACCATATGCAACAAAGTACGAGCTAGAGAAGCAGTTTCAACTAGTGTACACCATTTCGAAATTTAAGGAAGTTCAGAATGAGTTTATTAGGAGATGTATTGCGATCTAATATCTTTGTCGGAGGGTTTTTTAGGGATGACGTATGAGGTCATGGAGGATGTTAAACTTGACAATCAAGTTAAGAAAAGCAAGTTTTTCGTCACATTCCAGACAGAAAAATGTTAAATTGTATGTAGTTGTCACATTTTCAAGTTCCGATGAATAATTTGCAAGCATGCGATCTCTGTACTTCTCTGTAATAATATCACTTCCTTGCCCAACACCTAGATATTACGGGGATAGAGAAGAGATGTGAGTAGAGCTCACACCAAGGTCGCAGTGAAACTACGACAGTTTGAGTAGCAGTTCTGCCCAGTTGAGATATGACAAAATGTGTTAATCATTTGCTTCGCTTGCGAACCTAATTGCAGATGACAACGACGAAAGCCGTGCGGTAATGGAGTAGATAGAATGCAAAACACAAATAGTAAAGACGACGAGGTCCTTTATGAATTATTTTTAGGAGTACCTTTATTTTCCTACCAGTACCCATCTAAAGCCTTTGCCGATCATTATTCTTCCCTAAGAGTTTTCCTTTAATTTTATTAATCCCTATTTTCTAAAGACTAAAAATGTATACATTGCAATCCATTTATCACTACAAGTTTTTTGCTAAAATTGTTAAATTGCCATTTTACAGACTCCGAGTTCATACCTTCTTCGGGATTGGAGTTGTTGAGTTTGGGCATTTTCAATTGATTATGGTGATAAGAGAAAGGTTAGTAAAGTTGTGGGTGTAAAAGGAAGTGTGTAGTGGTTAGACAAGGAGATGAAGAAAAGATCCTAATGTTATTTTAACTGGACAATGTTATGTATCTATGTTCTTATGACCTGGTGTTGATGTATAGAATTCTACTATATTTATTGAATATGTTGATCATCAATTCTACTATATATTTGCAGGCGTCGAATATAGAACTTTTCTTAAACAAAAATTGTTGGCACATAACTGGAATTTCAGATTCAATCCTAGTAACATAATGAAGAGAACAAATTGCAGTCCACTAAAATTAACACTAAAATCATTCATATAACGACTGAAACATGAAAAGCGACTACATTAAAATGATTTTTTCACACAACACAACACAACACATATAACACATCAACTCCACATAACACAACACATGTTGCACATCAAAGGTGGTAGCATCGTGTTTCCAATCATGCCGGTCCCTTCCCTTTCTTATCCACTCTCACACTTCCATTGGTCGTCCTTATTGTCAGGTTCAAAGATATCTCAATATTTTGTTCTTCGGTTACCTGACAAAGGGTCTGGAACATGCGAGAGAACTGCTGGACTTCTTCAAGTGCTGCCTGACTATTCAAGTTAACGGCAATAGTACTCGATTTTCCCTCATCAACCCATTCCGAGTATTTACAGTTAGCACGGCAGCAATTGAACAATTTTTCCTTGTTCTTCGTTTCCCTCTCAACATCAAAGCACTTCACATATCCAATTTTACACCATGAGAATCATCATTTCTTTGGGCAATCCGCAAAGAAGTGCCCCTTCTCTCTACAGCTATAACAACGTTCGAAGTTCTTTCCAGCCATCCTACATCCAAACGAAAGACAGGTTGCACTACATTAGACAACAACCACACACCAATGTAAAATCCACAAATTTACAAAACTCATAATCCTTTCATTTTTTTCTTGGAATTGTTACAGCTAATAAATCTTAAAAAGGGAAGGAGACCGAATTGAAATAGTGCGAAAACTTACAAAAGGGAAAAAATCGCCTTCCTTATAAATTAAATCAAAACGATAAATCACCAAATTCAACACTCATAGATTCCTAGAAATAACTCATAAATCCAAGCATCTCATCAAATTAAATGTTGCGTATATAATTATGGAAGAAACAAAGAATTCCAAAAAAAAAAAAAATTAATAATAATCTTTCTGTTTCAAACGTAGAACTGGGAAAAAAGAAAAAAAAATGGATTAAAATGCAAGAATATATTCGGGTTGCATTCATTGAAATTGATATTAGTCGACCACAATAGCAAGCAATGAACGAAAATCATACTTACATAGTATTTGCTCAAGATTTCGTCGGAGGCGATGGCATCGACGGCTGACTCTCTTGCTGTACATGGTCGACTTCTCTCTTGCAGCTACCCAAAAAAAAAAAAAGTTTACCCACCATTCAATTGATAGACGGATGATCACTACATTAAGCACGAGCATCTTAATAAGGTGAGGACGGAAGAGTGCAGCTTCAGTTGCCCTCGAACTATTATGGGGAAATTAGGCCCTATACTCTGAAAAGTGACCCAATTAGATTAATACTCTAAATTACTTAAACATTACATAAACCCGTATTTATTACGTTCTAAATTAAAACAAAACCCTCAAATCTCAAAACCTCCCAACCGAGTACAGAGATCACAAATGCCCTGTACACTACTATTGCAGTTGCCATGTCGCTGCTACAGCGACAGTGATGGTGCTACGTCGATTAGGTTAATGTCTCTGCTTTTCGTGTTTTGGTCGACGAGGGATGGTGTGGTGATGTCTATTGGAATAGCCAACACTAGATTGGGTTTTTGTTGGCTAGGTGTGCGGCAGTGGACGAACTACTATAGACGATTGAGGTGCTAAGACGAGGGTGGTCGGAAGCCGGCTAATTTAAGCGGCTCGCTAGAAATGTTTTCTCGAGCTATATGGAAAGACCTACTCCAGGTGCGTTGTGTGAGTGCTGCCGTGAAAATGGATTTCATTTATGGAATTGAATGATATCATTTATGTTGACGCCACCAATTTTTACAGTTACCTTAAACGTGGCATATTAATCTACTGTGGAATTTTTAATAGCCAATATTTTCTTCATCTTCTTTGTATTTTGCTTTGGGGGCAAGCAGGAGAGAGAGAAAAAAGTGGAAAGCTTGGCTGCAATAGGTAGAGAAAAGAGGTTTGCGATGTGAAATTCACATAAAGACATGAAACTTTATGGTTGGACACATTGCAACTGCTGCAAAATTAGATGATGTGGATCAATAAATTGTTGTTAATTACTAAATTCTTTGGATCTCTATCCCCAAGAAGATAAAGCATACACAGATTTTGAATGCATTTTACTTATTATGAAGTACCTAACAGTTTTTCATACTCTCTGCCTGAAATGCAGGTTGTTAGTTGATATTGCAAAAATGAGGCAAAAAAAAAAGGAGGCAGAAATGGTTTTTTGAGGCTCGGATATTGAAGTGGTGGTGGTGGTGGTGGTGGTGGTGATGGAGAAGATGGAGTTGTAGAAGTTGAATAAAATGATATAACTTAAGGTTTTGACTAGTGTTTTGTCACTTTTTTTTTTTTTTTAAATTTTTGTTGCTTTTTTAGTGTTTATCAATTTTCATTTTTTTAATGGAACATGATACTTTTTTAAATATGTTCGTGTTTGCGTTCATTTTTCCTCTATTTTGTGTGTATAGTTTTTTGTACTTAGGCTTTGGTCTAGTGGTAGTAATAGTGTTGGCGACGAAGAAAGCGGAGGAATAGAGTTTCATTGTACCTACTGTATATAATGTCCTTGCAAATGATAGTGGCCAGTCTTAAGGCTTATGACTATCATTTTAAGGACCATAAGATACTTTCTACCTTGACTACAATACTCTAGGAAACCACCTACTAGAGTTAGAAGTTCAATTCACATGGTGATTTAGCATGTGTTACCATCTATTGTAGTAGTTGCTGCTGATAGTTGAATTTTCCTCCATTTGCTTTCTTAATTCTTAAGATGTATTCTTGGTAATTTTATCTTATGATGGCATGACTTGTGTACTAAAATTGATGATCTAGTTTTTTGGTAATTTGATTGTGTTTTGTTGGTAAACTAACTTAAAGATACTTGACGATGAACGAAGATGATAGATAAAGTAGTTGCTGAAGGCATTGTAAAGAATTGGTGATTATACAAGTATTTTTAATATGTATAAATTTCTGTCACTTTTTTTTAATTTTTGTTACTTTTTTCAGCGTTTGTCACTTTTTTTAGTCATATTCTTAATTTCTATCATTTTTTTAGTGACAAACATCAAACATCACTTTAAATAAAAGTGATATTGTTTGTCATTTTTTAATAAAATAAGTGATACTTAACATTTGATTTCTTTGGCCCCTTAAATTTATGTCACTTTTTTAAATTTATCACTTTTTATGTTTCTGTCACTTTTTTTTTTTAGTGTTTGTCACATTTTTCAATTGTCTTGAAATTTCTATTACTTTTTTTAGTGACAAATATCACTCATCACTTTTTCTTAAAAAAAGTGATGCAATGTCACTTTTTGACGCAATTTTTATAAAAAAAGTGACATTGTCACTTTTTAATTTTACGCAGTATTTTTTACTTCCAAAAAACTTTTCATATGATTTTTCAAAACACTTATAATTTTAAAGGTATTTTTGTAAGTTGCCCAACTATTATTTAGCCTATGAGGGCGTTCTCTGAGTTTGGGAGTGAAAGAATGAAAGGGAAGAGGTAATGGGTTTCTTTTGTTTTGGGCTTGTTCCAACACTTGACCTGTTTCCTTATTTTTTTTCTTTTGCCATGTCGTGGTGTCAACCAACAAGTAAAGAACCGAGTACATATAGCGGGATTGTTATCCAGATTCCAAATCAGACGTGGGGAACACTAATTTTGAATAGAATGATGCTACATTACCTCAAGGAATGGTTCTGTCTCGTGGAATGGTTTCAGGGTTGTCCACCTACGACGAGCTAGGAGCGAATTCGTCTATCTAAATGCCAGTCAACTTCTTTTCTCCTTGACCTCGTAATGCCAACGGGCTAGGGGAAGAGATAAATTTAATCTTTTTGGAATAAAACAACTGGGTACAATAACAATTTTCTCACAATTCTCAAGAATCAACACCATAGATGCCCATGTTTTTTGTTTCAAGACCAATAAACCTATAAATTCGAGAAAGCATAGGCAAAAATGTCATAGGAATCAAAGGACCCCACACGTACAAGAATTAATTTTACACACAAATCATCAAAATAGTACAATTATATTCCTCTTAAAATTAGCATGAACCTTCATTGGCATCCTGCGACCAATGTTTTAAAAAGCTCGTCTAGACGGTGCTTAGGCACCGCCTAGCTCAATCTCAGGCAAAACACCTTGCTTCGCATCTAGACCTTTTTTTTCTTTTTCTTTTTTTTTTCATTTTCTAAATTGCTGAATTTTTTCTTTCATTTCTTTCGTCTTCCGTAGACGAGCTTTATTATTTTTTTAAAGTCTTTTATTTGACTTTAACTTATTATTATTATTTGGAAAAAACTTTTCATTTTACTTTAACTTCAAGTTTTTAAAAATTTTTATCTATACAAAAGTTAAAAAATAACATTATCTAAATAGTTAAATAAGGTTTAAGTTTTAATGTTACCTACATTATGTAATTATGAATTTGAAACTCATTTTATTACAAACTCCAAAAGCACGCATGAAGTTCCTATAAATTTATTAAGTACGACTTGTTTAGTTGAAAATCAAAACTATGAAAAATATTCTAATTTTTTTATTTCGAAAACTTGAAAAATCGTAAATTTGACTAATGGTAGAAGTTATTAAGTAAAATATTGAATTTTATAACTTTAGATGTTTAATATATATTATTTTAATTATTAGATAATTTTTAAAATGACTAAAAATTTATAATAATATTATAAATAAGAAAACTTTTTTTTTTTACGCCTATACCTTACCTAGGCTCGTAAAGTTTGAAATTTCAACTCCACGCCTAATCACACTTTACGCTTTTTGGAACACTGCACGCGACAGTGCAAATCGCCTTCTGTTACATAATAACAAAAATTTTCAACTATCCATAATATTTGAAGTATAAAATTCAAATTTACATATTCTAAATTTGTTCCTCTTCCAGGCATGGCAGCACTTATTCTACAAAACTGTATCGGCATCAAGTACTAATATAGAGGGGAAAAAATTATTTTAATTTTAATTTCAAATATTTAAAACCCACCACTTAATTAAAATATTCAGTGACAACTAAAATGCTAGCTCAACGCGTCAAAAATATTTTTGACCTTGTGTTAAGATAAGATCCAATTCCCTTGAAAATCAGAAAGTTTCTAGTTTCAAAATAAGGGAACATTTTCTTTAGAATGTGATGGGTCAATTAAGACTCAAGCTGCTTAAGTCTCTTCCTTGTTTGCTGCGTAGCTTCCTCGCTTCGTTTCACCTTTCAAAGTTTGAACATCTTCTTTTTGCAGGAAAAGAACATAAGATCCTAATTGCCGTAGGCATAACAGAAATATTGTAAACTAAGGCAACTGACACAATCAGCTTTCTCAAATGTTAGATTTTGATATCTAATAAATCTCCGGCAATGATGTAAAACGTCAGAATATATTTTCACAGGTCTCGACTAATGGTAAATTATTTACCTACAACCAAGTTCAAAGGTTCGACCCAAAACTAATTTGGATAGTTGGAAGTAGCTTACGAAATAAATGTTGCATACAATCCATAATTTTCACCTATTGGATGGCTCTTGGATCTTAATCCATTTAACCCTTCTCTTGGCCAACTAAAGCCTAACCTTATATATATAACCGTCAAGTGTGTGATTTGTTAGAAAAAAACGTGACTCCTCAAAATTAGAGAAAAATCGGCTGCCTGCTTTATGTTAAAAACGTGTGGCTGCCTTTGTATTTGTTCTCCTCTTCGTACCTTCTTCCATTGGTTTTCTTCTTGCTTTTGTGGCTACAAATTAACACAATATCTCGTCCTTTTATGGGTGAGATTGAGAAGCAACTATAGGTGAATATATTGGATTTATGTCGAAGCATTTGGATTGATTGTATGGCAGAGAAAGGTAACATAAAATTGAGCCCAAAAATCATAGTTTCGAAGATCATGGAACTAGTTTCAGCAACAAGTAGTATCAAAGCTCCTAGGTGGTGGATTTTTGGCCAAAATCTGACAAAAAAAATTGCAAAAATCGATAGAATCGAAGTAGAAAATCGAAAGTGAAAGTTTCTTCAATTTGTCCTGTACTTGTAATTGCGATTTCTAGCTAATCCAGTGACCTATTGATAAAACGAAGATTAGATCCTTGTTATGTAGGTAGAGATGAAGTCGGTGGTGGCGCGTGGGCATATCTATCGAAATCCCGTAAGGTCCCTTTGGACAATTTGTTTCTCACATTATTTATAGCATATTGGTGTTATTAGATTTTTGTTTCAAGTTATGTAGTGAAATCTGGATGATTTTTCCCTTTGTGCTTTGGGGATTCAATTGTGTTTGATTGGTTGCTACAGTTGCTGGAGCTTTAGGATGAATAGTGGTGGCTCTAAAATTTAATAAATTCGCATATTTCATTATTTACGTATTGTAGATTGGTCCGCTTTAATAAATTGACTTATCCCATTTGAATTTCAACATTAGCGAGTCATTGAGTGAGGTGACATTAGGATTGAAATTACCGTATGGGATAACCATTGAATGCTCGAAATTTAGGAAACATTTGCCCTATATAAAGTGTTGAATTTAATTGCAACAACCAAGTCTCAACATTAAGTCGTTGTGTAAGAATTTGAACTTTTGTTGACAAACCTTCATATTGCATTGATTATTTATTAGGATACCTGGACTTGACCCATTTGACTATTTTATTGACATTGAGATCTCAAATATCACGAAACCCTAAGAATTTAGAACAGTATATATTGTGACCTTAATTTTACTTTGTGTGATCTATTGTACATTTTTGTGATCCTATTTTAAAAAATGACTTCACATTTTTCAATGGAAAATGAGATTTTTTTAATTTGACAACAAAAGATGATGAGAATTTTGGTTCAATAAAAAGTTTTAAAAGTCATTGATAGCTTTTTTCTTTTTTCTTTTTGAAAATTTGTTAAAAGAACAAAAAGAAGAATCAGAAAAACTTGCTTACTCTTCAATTATTTTACACCTGTCAGATACTGTTTTGAGAAAAGTTGGTAAACTTGACACTACAAAATAACTTTGAAATTTTTTGAAAGACTTATATTTGCTTACGTTTACTCCTAATATGTTGTACTTGTTTTTCGAATTTTTCAATTTTAAAATAGATCATTCAAAGGATGTAGATGACAATTTGGATATTTTAACAAACTTGTTCAATATTTATTAATTGTGATGAGAAGTTGTTTGAAACCTGTAATGTCATTATTTTGCTTAAGAATGCAATTAAATATTGTAGAGACACTTTGACATTCGAGATTGTTATAGATTCCCTTAGGAATAAAAGGAGATGGAGCTTAAGGTTGAAAAAAGATGATAAAATGAGTGGTGAGGTATATATGATGAGGAGCGAAATGAAGTTTAAGCAATTAAGTTTTGGGAAGAGTCTAAAACAGTAATGACATGGATGATGAGAGTGGTAAGAAGAAGGCCAGGGGTTAGGACAATCCAATGTAAGTAGTGTTGCAACTGTGGTACTAATGGACACTTTATGCTGGGCTGTCCCAAGAGAAAGGATAAACAGAAGTTTAAGATGAGAGATGAAACGAATGTTGCTATATGGTCAAATGATGACCTTAGTAAGATCTATTATGAGTAAAATCTAGTTACTACATGTGCATCTGTGTGTAATAATTTCTGCATATGTGTGATTGCTTGATTCTATTATATAGTTATATGTTGCATTCCAATATATTTGATATGTACATTTGCATGAAAGTAATATGATTACTTGGTGTGATGTGTTTTATACATAATGGGTTAGGATACATTAGCAGTAATTGTGTTGTGTATTTTTTGTAATGTGGAGTATAAATACCTAGGGTACATTGGTGGTATGTATCAGGGGATGTGGAGTTTGACATTTGAATCATGAGTAGAGATATGATTTAATGTCTGAAATTCTTTATCTGTGAAGACCCTGATCAGGTGAAGTGTGAGATTGACACTTTTATCACTTCTGTTAATTGGAAACCCATTATCCACTAAGTTTGAACGAAGTGAGATAGTGATATAAGATTATTCTGTGAACTTAGGATATATGTGATTTACAAGTTAGACATAAGTTAGTGATAACCTAGTGTGCATGGTGGGCGATGAAAGGAGATGTGTTCTTGAGGTGTGATCAATACGGAATAGGATAGGACAAGTATGGTGAGCTCTCTTCATGGGGCATTTATGCATTTGTTTCATATGTATTGACCATTTGGTTGAATAACTAAGTGTTAGTTTGTTGCTCTATGTAAATGTGTTTGGAAAGATCTATGTTATATTTTCATCGCATGTAAATATGCTCTTGATTGATAATTGTGATTACTTGTTCTTACTATGGTGTTTGTCTGCCTTAGTCCTAGTGAGTATGTAAAACATATATGGTATGTGTTTCAGTACCAAAACACATGGTAATGTCTATGCAAGTATTAACTTTGTGTTTTAGTTTGCAGATTGATTGATTTTCAATGTAGAGATTTATTAAGTTTTAATACCCAATAAATTTCAGGCAATAATGTAAAATGTCGAAATATATTTTCATAGGCCTCGCCTAATGGTAAATTGATTACCAAGAACCAAGGCTAAAGATTTGTCCTAAAAATAACGTAGATCGTTTGAAGTGGCTTAAAAAATTACTATTGCTCATGGTCCATATATTTACTATTGGACACCTTTTGGATCTTGGCCCATTTAACCCCTATCTTGGGTCCAACTAAAGCCTAACCTATATCTATATATATGGTAGTCTAGTCCTAGTCGTTAAGTGTGTGATTTGTTTGAAAAAAGGGAGAAAATGTGACTGCTCAAAATTGGAGAAAAGACGATTGCTTGCTTTGTGCTAAAACAACGTGTTTGCCTTTGTATTTTGGTTTCTTCTTTGCGCCTCTTTCCATTGGTTTTCTTGTCGCCTTAGTGGCTACAAATTAACACCAATATCTTATCCTTTTGTAGGTGAGATTGTGAGAATAAATTGGTTTGAGGTCGGAGCATTTGGATTCATTATTTTTTAGAGAAAGGTAACGTGAAATTGAGCAAGAGATGTAGAAGCCCGAGAAATAAAATGAAATTATGCTATTATGTTGTGATGATCTAGTACCACGAGCCTATCTCATTCAAGAAACGAGCTGTGGAAGCTTAAACCATTTAAGATTTTGAAAGCTCAAGCCATAAATTAATTAAAAGTCCAACAATTTAAGAGATTAAGTTTAAGTAAATTTGATTACAAAGATTTAATGAATAACTGGGTTGCCCAAATGGTCATCTACATGGTATTTCATATAGGCAATCCAGATTCGAATTTTTTTATAAAAAAATTTTACGAATTTTTTTAGGCTTAAAAACTCTTTAAATTCTGAGTTAAAAATCCAATTTAACAAAGTTTATGATAATACAACCCCCCACTTAGTTTTTCATTAAAAAAAAAAAGGTTACAAGAAGTGGAAGGTCACTTTTTCACTATATCCTTCCTTAAATCCGAATTTCATCTTATTTTCTTTCAAAAAAGTATATTTTATGTCAATTTAAACTAAGGAAATAACAAGGGTGAAAAGAAGAAAGGCTTTCTACACATTTGTTCTTTGATATCCAAGAAAATTCAAGGTAGGTTGAGGTGCAAGTGTTATTTCGTTTTCAAATTTGATTTTTCGTTAAAAGTTGAATGAAATGGTACCTCTGGGTACGGTGCTTTGGTACTACTATAGTTTGAATGATCATTCTCCGGCTCTACATGTTATGATAATGCTATAGATATCGAATTTTGTTGGAAATCCATCTATGTGCGACGGTATGAATCCATGGTTCGAATTTTCTAATTTGATTACGAAATGCATCGATGATATCTATTGAGTTTCAAACTCATGTGTTAAATCCTTTCTTACAGGTTGATTCTATTCTTTTGTTGGGGGCGCGAATGATGGTGGTTGAAGATGCAATTTGACATGGAAAAACCGGTGAATTAACAACTTTAAATTGATTATGAAATATTTGCGTTTCCTATTAATTACTTTTCTATGGATATCGTACATGAAACAATTTTTACGAACATTTTCTTATGAATAGGTTATGTTTAAAAATATATATATGTGATCTAGAATTTACTTACGAAGCACCGTCTTAAAAAAAAAATGTCAACTAGTTAATGTTACTGTTTTCTTAAAAATTTTAGTTTTTGCTCAGATTTTAAAAATTCATAACTAATTTATTACTTCGAATTTTTGAACAAAGCTAACGGTGTTTGATAGCCTCATAAGTTAGCTACTGAATAAATTTAGAATCATGTCAATCCGATGTCGGTAAAATTTTATGTCACTTTAAATAAACATAGTGTTGCTGTTTTCTGAAAATTCCAGTTTCTGCCATTGAACTTAAAAATTCGTAACTCAATCGTTACTTGGGATTTTTGGACAAAACCAGTGGAATTTAATAGCCTCATAGATTAGCTACAAAATAAACTTAAAATCATATCAATCCAATAGCTATGAAAGTTTATATGCCACCTTAAGTATGCTGTGCTGGGTTACTTCCCAAATTGAATCGCTGCGAGGTTTTGAAAAATATTTTAACATCTCATATGTTGTCGACGAAAGCTGAATTTTGGATATGTTATATTATGAGAAGTTTCCTACTTTCTCTTAAAGTTTCGTGAAGTTTCGACATAGATTACTATGTAAACGAGTTTACTTTAAAACTTACTGCGCAAAAATGGGAAGTCAAACAACAACATTTATTTTTAAATTCTTGCATAAAATTTCACGTAACAAAAATGTATTTATGCATAGATGTCACCTGAGTATTGAGTTATGTTGTCATTTGTTGTCCTTTTAAAAAAAATATTCTGAAATTAAATCTTTATAATTTCCTTTAAAAGTTTAGCTATTTTTTTAAGTTTACGGCTAAAAGTACAATTAATCTAGCTACGTTTCGGTCCTTGCGGGTTGGGGCATTACAATGTGGTATCAGGGTACGAGTTTAGTCGATTCTGTAGACTTAGCTTATTTTTTTATAAAAAAAATAATAATTAAAAGATGAGAAAGTGAAACATTTAAGGCATTCCATAGCATCTTGCATTCATCAATTGACCTCATCCGACGAACCCGAGGTATGGAATAAAATATTATGTTCCACTTTATTTTTCGAGCATGATTTATAAATCATTTAAGCTTGAATCTATGAAAATGCTAATGATATTTAGGATGAAATATGTTATGTAAGTTATATTTTGTTTATATATACATGAAGAAATGATGATTAGCTTTTTTATTGAAACCCTAAAAGCATAATGTATAAGTTGATATCACTAATAGAGATAATACATAATTGGACACTTATGTGACAGACATGATTAGAATTTATCAGACCACTAAAAAGGCCACGGCTTGTAGAGCAGCGTTGAACCGTAGGTCTATCATTCAATCCTATGAGAACTACGTGACTGACCCATTTTGTCCACTTGTTGAACACATACATGACATTTACGAGAGATGTATGGCGACGGTAGATGCAGGACTGGAGATTATGCATATCGAGGCTGTAAATAACCTTATACACTCACTTCCACCTCAATGGGAAAGCATGGGAGTCATGATTAGGGATGAGATGCTAGAAGGTAACCCTCCAGAGCACCCAAATGTAATTGAATTCAGTGTATATTGTCGAATCCTTCTAGACAAGTGGAGTGAGAGTTTAGAACCTCAACCGGAGATAATAATTGAGCCTGAGCCCGAGCCAGAACCTCAGTTTGAATTGGACCCAAAGGAAGATCCCGAATGGGAGCATAAGAATGAATTTGGGTTGGAATTAGAGAATGAACATGAGCATGAGCCACATGTTGAGATGGACCTAGAGTCGGGGCTTGAGGCAGAAGACTCCTCCGAAGATGAAGCTCCACCAAAAAAGATTCGCAAATTTCATAGGGATTAGAAATTAGATTCCTTTTCCTTGTATTATCTTTTCCTTAATGTTATGGAAGTAAAGGTCGTCAAACTATTGTATATCCTGATTTCAATGAGTACTTTTAATAATAATAAAAAATCAATTCTGGTTCAAGCTAAAAATATTTCCCTATTTTAATCCTGGTTTTGGAAAAAGAATTTAATGTGAGATATTATATCTTATTTCTAGGGAAATGTCTCGTGCAAACCAGAACAATTTGATAAGAGATCTCCTACAAGCGGTTCAAGATCTTGGCAGGCTGAATCAGAACCAGCTCTACCTATACCGCCAGCTTCTATTACTCTCCCGACTCATGCCTTGGTGGTTGAGTTATTTCGAAGGCATAAGCCCTCTACCTTCGATGGAGCATCTGGTCCACTAGTAGTTGAGGAATGTCTTCGTAAGCTAAAATGAATTTTTTGACTCATTGAAAGCACCGACGCCCAAAAGGTTTAGTGTGCGGAGTTTATGTTTATTGGCGATGCAAGTTACTGGTGGGATTTAATGTCTCGGACTAGAACCCCGGAGCAGCAGTTGGCGTTAACATGGGAACAATTTAAAGAGGAAGTAATCAACAAGTATTTTTCTCAGTTTCTAAGAGATTTCAAGGAAAACGGATTCCTTCAACTCAAACAGGGTAATATGTCCCTAACTGATTACGAACGAAAGTTCGATCAACTCTCAAGATATGCTCCACACCAGGTTGACACAAAAATTAAGAAGACTAGAAAGTTCGAGCAAGGGTTAAACCCAGACCTAAGCACGATCCTTATGTCACATCTTTTCACATCATATCGTGAGATGTTGGAACGAGCTCACGCTATTTGGTATCAGAAGGCTAATGCGGAGCAACACCATCAATTGTACAACCAACAAGATAGAGGGCATATTGGAAAGAGGAAGTGGAATGGTCAAGACAAAAGAAATGGCAAATGGCAAAATAAGAAGGCTAACATCGGATATAGTGCCAGCAAGGCCATAGTAGCTACAATTGTGCCTTGTCTGAAGTGTGGTAAGCCTCATCGTGGTGAATGCTTGTATGGGAAGAATGCCTGTTTTTAGTGCAGTAAGCCAGGACATATTGCTAATGATTGTCCTATGTTCACTCAAAAGAAGGATGATAACAGTGATCAGAACAAAAAGGGAAAAGCACGAGTCTTTACACCGACTCAGAAGGATGCAGAGGAAAACTCAAACGTAATAACAGGTATTTTACTGATATTCAATACACCTGCTTATGTACTGTTTGATTCGGGGGCTACTCACTCTATTGTATCAACGTCTTTCATTGCTAAATCTAGTATTACTTGTGAGAAGTCAGAAAGTACACTAGAGGTTAGCGTCCCCTCAGGTAGAACATTAAATATAGATCAGTTAGCTAGGTCGATAAATCTTGAAATCGAAGGAAAAACATTAGAAGCTAATTTGTATCTGATAGAGATGAAAGACTTCGATGTGATTTCGGGCATAGATTGGTTGTGATGTAATTATGAAACCATTTATTGTAGAGAGATGGAAGTGTCTTTTCAGAAACCAGGATAAGAGCAATTCTCTTTCCTCGGAATAAAGACCAAACCCCATTTCCAACTAGTATCAATCTTGCAAGCTGAGAAAATGATGAGAAAAGAAATGTACCAAGGATTTCTAGTTAACATCTCAGGAGAAAAACATATGACAATAAAGATTGAGGACGTACTAGTGGTATGAGAGTTTATAGATGTGTTTTCAGAAGAACTACCTGGTACTTCACCAGATAGATGGTGGAGTTCACAATAGATCTGGTTTTCGGAGCGGCACCAGTAACTAAAGCTCCATACAAAATGGCTCCAAAGGAACTTCAGGAGTTAAAATTTCAATTACAAGAATTGTTGGGTTGTGACTTTATTCGACCAAGTATGTCTCCTTGAGGCGCACCAATATTGTTCGTAAAGAAGAAAGATAGAAGTACAAGGATGTGTATTGACTATCGGGAGTTGAACCGTTTGACCATCAAGAATAAATATCCTCTCTCGAGAATCGATGATTTATTTGACCAACTGAAAGGGGCTAAGGTATTTTTCAAGATCGACTTATGATCTGGATACCATCAGTTGAAGGTTAAGGCAAGTGATATACCCAAGACAGCTTTTCGAACTCGTTATGGACATTATGAGTTCACAGTTATGCCGTTCGGGTTGACAAATGCTCCAACAATGTTCATGGATTTAATGAATGGTGTATTTCATCAGTATTCGGATCAATTTATCATAGTCTTTTATTGATGACATCTTGATATACTCCAAGAGTAAAGATCAACATGAAGAGCATCTTAGAATGGCGTTAGAAACACTGCGTAAGGAAATATTATACACCAAATTTAAAAAGTGTGAATTTTGGCTTGAACAAGTTGGATTCCTCGATCATATAGTTATTGTCCAAGGAATTGAGGTGGATCCAGTAAAAGTGGAAGCAATAAATAATTGGAACACACCAACGTGGGTGAAGTTCGAAATTTTCTGGGATTGGCTGAGTACCATTGGAGATTTATAGAAGGATTTTCCAAAATAGTCGGACCAATGACACAATTGACAAGGAAAGGAATAAAGTTTCAATGGATAGATAAGTGTGCACAGAGCTTTCAGGAGCTAAAACGACGATTGATTTCAGCACTCGTGTTAGCTATACCCGAAGGATCGGAAGAATTTGTTATATATGGTGATGCATCCAAACAAGGTTTAGGATGTGTATTGATGCAGCACGGAAAAGTGATTGCATATGCATCAAGGTAATTGAAGCAACATGAACTGAACTACCCGACGCATGATCTAGAACTTGTTGCAGTAGTGCATGCTTTAAAGATATGGCCCCATTACTTATATGGAGGGAAGTGTGACATTTACAAGGATCATAAAAGTCTCAAATATTTTTTCACACAAAAGGAATTGAATATGAGATAGAGATGATGGTTGGAACTTGTAAATGATTATAGTTGTACTATCCATTACCATCCTGGTAAGGCTAATGTTGTTGCCGATGAGCTAAGTAGAAAGTCAGTAGGACGATTGGCGTCATTACCTACTACTCAGTTGTAGTTGATCAAGGACTTGGAGAATTTAAAAAAAAAATGATTGCCACACCAGAGCAAGTCACCACCCGTTTAACAACTTTGGTGGTTTGACCTACTCCTAGAGATCGGATCATTGAGGTACAAGGTAAGGACCCATTCTTGCAAAAGATCAAGAACGAGATTGGTACTGATAAGAGAAAGGACTTTAAAATAGCTTCGGATAGGGCTTTGTTGTTTAAAGGAAGGATTTGTGTACCCAAGGATGAAGTTTTGAGGAAGGAGATATTGGAGGAGGCTCATATCACTTCATACACTGCACATCCTAGCGGTACGAAAATGTATCGAGACCTTCGAGATACATTTTGGTAGAGGAATATGAAAAGAAGTATAGGTCTATTTGTGGCAAAATGCATTGTGTGTCAACAAGTTAAAGCATCAAAGACCGACAAGGTTGTTAAATCCATTGGACATACCAGAATGGAAGTGGGAAAATATCGCAATGGACTTTGTGGTAGGATTTCCGAGATCAACAGGAGGGCACAATGCTATATGGGTAATAGTGGACTGTCTAACAAAGTCCGCTCATTTTCTTCCGGTGAAAATGGCATTCAGTCTAGATCAGTTGGCACGGATTTACATTAAAGAGATCGTAAGATTGCATGGTACCCCTGTATCCATTGTGTCTGACAGAGATCCGAGATTTACATCTAAGTTCTGGAAGAGCTTGCAAGTGGCTATGGGAACGAAATTAAATTTCAGTACGGCATATCACCTTCAATCCGATGGTCAATCTGAAAGAACCATTCAGATTTTGGAAGATATGTTAAGAGCCTATGTTTTGGATCTTGGAGGCAATTGGGAATCGTATTTACCTTTGGTGGAATTTGCATATAATAACAGTTTCCAAGTAACCATTGAAATGACACCGTATGAAGCTCTCTATGGTAGAAGATGTAGATCACCTATTCATTGGGATGAAGTCGGAGAAAAGAGAGTTTTGGGACCAGAGATCATTGAAAGGACAATCGAAGCATTTGATAAGATCCGCACTAGGATAAAGGCAGTGCAAGACAGACAAAAGAGCCATGTAGATATCAGACGAAAGGACTTGGAGTTTCAAATTGGAGATAAAGTCTTTTTAAAAGTGGCACCAATAAAGGGTATACTTAGGTTTGGCTAGAAAGACAAGCTACGACCTCGTTATATCGGAACTTTTGAAGTACTTGATAGGGTCGGAAGTGTGGCTTATCGATTAGCTTTGCCGCCCTAACTATCAGTAGTTCACAACATATTTCACATATCGATGATCAAGAAGTATATGCATGATCCTGATCACGTGATCAATTATCAATCCCTAAATGTACGTAAAGATTTATTTTATGAGGAATTACCGATTAGAATACTGGATCGAAGGGTACATAAATTACAGAACAAGGAGATTCAACTGGTCAATGTGCAATGGAATAATCATGGAGTCGAAGAAGCAACTTGGAAAGAAGAAGTTAAAGACAAATATCCGACACTCTTTGCCAATCCATAAGGTAAATTTCGAGGACGAAATTTTGTTTAAGGTGTAAGGGATGTAGAAGCCTGAGAAATAAAATGAAATTAGGCTACTATGTTGTGATGATCTAGCACCACGAGCCTATCTCATTCAAGTAACGGTCATCTACATGATATTTCATATAGGCAACCCAGGTTAGAATCACTATGTAGATGTTTTTATAAAACTTTTTTATGAATTTTTTTAGGCTTAAAAACTCTTCAAATTCTTAGTTAGAGATTCAATTTAACAAACTTTATGATAATACAACTTCCCCCATTTAGTTTTTCATTAAAAAGAAAGGTTACAAGAAGTGGAATGTCACTTTTTCACTACATTCTTCCTTAAATCCGAATTTCATCTTATTTTCTCTCAAAAAATATATTTTATGTCAATTTAAGCTAAGAGAATAACAAGGGTGAGAAGAAGAAAGGTTTTCTACACATTTGTTCTTTGATATCCAAGAAAATTCAAGATAGGTTGAGGTGCAAGTGTTATTTCGTTTTCAAATTTGATTTTTTGTTAAAAGTTGAATAAAATGGTACCTTTGGGTACGATGCTTCGGTACTATTATAGTTTGAATGATCATTCTCCGACTCTACGTGTTATGATAATGCTATAGATATCGAATTTTGTCGAAAATCCATCTATGTGCAACGGTATGAATCCATGGTTCGAATTTTCTAATTTGATTATGAAATGCATCGATGATATCTATTGAGTTTCAAACTCATGTGTTAAATCCCTTCTTACAAGTTGATTCTCTTCTTTTGTTGAGGGCGCGGATGATGGTGGTTGAAGATGCAATTTGATATGGAAAAGCCGGCGAATTAACAACTTTAAATTGATTATGAAATATTTGCGTTTTCTATTAATTACTTTTCTATGGACATCGTATATGAAACTATTTCTATGAACATTTTCTTATGAATAGGTTATGTTTAAAAATATATGTGTGTGATCTAGAATTTACTTACGAAGCACCATCTTCAAAAAAAAAAAAAAAAATGTCAACTAGTTAATGTTACTGTTTTATTAGAAATTTCAGTTTCTGCTCAGATTTTAAAAATTCATAACTAATTTGTTACTTCGAATTTTTTAACAAAGCTAATGGTCATAAGTTAGCTACTGAATAAATTTAGAATCATGTCAATCCGATGTCGGTAAAATTTTATATGTCACTTTAAATAAACATAGTGTTGTTGTTTTCTGAAAATTCCAGTTTCTGCCATTGAACTTAAAAATTCGTAACTCAATCGTTACTCATGGTTCGAATTTTCTAATTTGATTATGAAATGCATCGATGATATCTATTGAGTTTCAAACTCATGTGTTAAATCCCTTCTTACAAGTTGATTCTCTTCTTTTGTTGAGGGCGCGGATGATGGTGGTTGAAGATGCAATTTGATATGGAAAAGCCGGCGAATTAACAACTTTAAATTGATTATGAAATATTTGCGTTTTCTATTAATTACTTTTCTATGGACATCGTATATGAAACTATTTCTATGAACATTTTCTTATGAATAGGTTATGTTTAAAAATATATGTGTGTGATCTAGAATTTACTTACGAAGCACCATCTTCAAAAAAAAAAAAAAAAATGTCAACTAGTTAATGTTACTGTTTTATTAGAAATTTCAGTTTCTGCTCAGATTTTAAAAATTCATAACTAATTTGTTACTTCGAATTTTTTAACAAAGCTAATGGTCATAAGTTAGCTACTGAATAAATTTAGAATCATGTCAATCCGATGTCGGTAAAATTTTATATGTCACTTTAAATAAACATAGTGTTGTTGTTTTCTGAAAATTCCAGTTTCTGCCATTGAACTTAAAAATTCGTAACTCAATCGTTACTTGGGATTTTTGGACAAAACCAGTGGGATTTAATAGTCTCATGGATTAGCTACTGAATAAACTCAAAATCATGTCAATCCAATATCTATGAAATTTTATATGCCACCTTAAGGATGCTGCGCTGGGTTACTTCCTAAATCGAGTCGCTGCGAGATTTTGAAAAATATTATAACATCTCATATGTCGCCGAGGAAAGCTGAATTTTGGATATGTTATATTATGAGAAGCTCCCTACTTTCTCTTAAAGTTTCGTGAAGTTTCGACGTAGATTACTATGTAAACGAGTTTACTTTAAAACTTACTGCGCAGAAATGGGAAGTCAAATAACAACTGCAATATTTTTAAATTATTGCCTAGAATCAATAGGTGTGTTTTAGATTTAGGTGAGTTTTAGATTTAGACCATATAATAAAATTCGGTAATTTAGTTTAATGTGTAGAAATACCTATACTAACTATTGTAGTTGTTATATGAATTCTTAAAATAAAATAGTGTGTTTAGCTCATATTGATTCATATAAAGATATGAGATCAAATTAGTTAAATAGACTAAATGAGAACTGGAGAGAGATAAATTAAATACGACAAAAGAATTTGACCAAACACTACATTAGATTTGTGAATCTTGATTTAAGACTTAGAGATAATCAATATGCCCTAATATCCATTCCATTTTTGTATTCCGAATCAATTTTTGTGTGCATCTGCTATTTTGAAGTAGTTAGATCAAAAATCACAAAAAATCACAATTTCTTCTTTGTTTCATCAAAAAGAAGTTCGGAATATTAGATTAAATATTAAGATATAGTTCTCGTGGAAACGATACTCTTGACTCAGAAGTTCACTATATTACTTGTTACGGTATCATACACTTGCAATAGAAAAAAACACAACACTCAACTATTAAAATCCATAATAGATATATGATTCACAGAAAATATATTGCCAACACGAACAAATGTAATAAAATGAAGATTAATTCGCAATTTCACCATGCAATGGCTGGCTGATTCTAGATTTTATCTCAGCATATTATAAATCCATATAATGGAAAGTCGTGGGGCTTGATGCCCCTCCACAAAACTTTATATCTTTGATATTTCAAACATTATTAATTCATATATTTCGTTCAGTCAACCACCACAAATAATTTAATAGTTTATAAGATGGGATTAACAGTTTAAACATCGAGGCATTGACAGCTCACAGCCCAACCCTAGATGTTTCAAACATAATAAAAAATTAATCATGTTCCTCAACCTAGTAGTATTTGATAATTTTGAATATTTCCACTTGGTTGACCAGCTATTGTTTTATTGTACAGAAGCAGTTGAAGTTTAGGTGCATTTTGTGGGGATAAAATGAACACATATATAATTTGTAAAATGGTGATTAGAAAATATTAAGTTACAATATCTCTTTCTATATCAATACAACATCATATGTATTGATATTGATCTTGACGTGATGAGTTGTTCTTGACACTAACACTCAAACGTTCTTATATATCAATTTCTACATTATTTACAAAAATAGATTAATTTGTGATTATTTGCCTAGAAGTTGGTGCTTTGTTTCTGGTTATTTGAAAGTTTGAAGCTAAAGGATCGAGCTTGTGAGTTGTGTCAACTCGTGCTCATAATTTTATATACAACTTAAGATATCTATGATCAATTCCCGAACCATTATTTCGTATCACTCGAGGGTTTTATGTTTGAGATTAAAGAATAGGATAGCAATATTCGTAATCTTGAAGGTTAATTTTTAAATTTATCAATTTTGAAAAATCATGTTGTCTTTTGGTCTGTCTTTAACGATGATTAGATCAAGTCAGATAATTTTTATAAAATATATAAGTAATGTTATTTAGCCTCACTTGGTTGTAACTCCAATTTGTATGACGCTAATGTGACATTAGATAATGCATAAAATTTAATTAAATGAGTAATTAAATTAAATTTTTCATTTAGCATATCATCGAACAACATATTGACTAAGGTTATAATTTCAGTAGAGCTAAATAAGGGCATATTCGGTAGTGATTATGAGCATTGATTTCTTGATCGTTAGAGAAAATAGTGGATCCCACATGTGAGTGAAGAAGTAAAAAATGACAGTTGAAATAATGAAATAACAGTCAAAAAATTGATATTTTTGGATGAAAAATTGTTAACAAACGGGGCTAACATTACTCAAAATATATAGAGTTTAGAATTGATTTTTTTTATTTATTTTTTATTTTTTATGATAACTTGGTATAAACAATGAAAGATACCATAGAACGAGGTCCAACTACGTATTTGTGATTGAATTTGAGCTAATGGTGACTGTTGGATCAAATGAAAACTGTCAAAATACAAATATGGATTGAATTTGAGCTAATGGTGACTGTTGGATCAAATGAAAACTGTCAAAATACAAATATGGAACTCATTTGTAATTGTATTTTTGGAGACGATGGTCTCATTTTCAAGAATCTCTTGTTCATTAATACAATTGGAAGTTAACGAGAAAGCTCATGCTCTAGCTAGGTTTGCCTTCGACAACTTTCAAAACAGCAACTGGACGATAATTATCTGTTATTTCAACAGGCAACCACCAACTTGATTAAAATAGAATAACATAGATTTAGAATCAGTTAACTTCTCGGACAGAAAACAGTACAAGACAACAATACACCAAGTAAAATAACATCAAATTTAGCGTTTAATCCTAAGTGCAATGTTAATATATTAGTAAAACATAAATAATCCAACCTTAAGATGCCATTTTGTTTCTACGAAGTAACATAAACAAAAAGGAAAAAGGACGGTCAGGGAATCACGTGGAACGCACGAGACAACCCTTAAAAGATGTTGCTGAAGAATGTCACAATTTTGATGAGAAATAGACGTACTAATAAATATTCTAATCCCAAAATTTTCAGAAAAAGGAAAAAGAGCTACTTCTGATTTTATACTCTTTATTTGTAATAAAATATTGTACATTCAAATTAGAGTATGAACTCCTAAATATTTTCGAGCTTATGTTTTAGAGACTCGCTACACAGACACCCTACCAATAGAGGGGACACATGCCGTCCTGGGAAAAACAGGGCCCACGTGGCCCTATTTGACAAGAATTGTTCTGTATTAATGAAATTATATTTTCTGAGCGTTTAGTAACTTAAAACTAATAAAATGACAGCAATATTGAGCACTTTTATCGAACAATTTGATCGGCGTATTTATAGATATGTTCGGTGTTAAGATTTGTTTTGAAGTCATTTATCATCTCAATACTTGAAAACATTGAGATGGGGACTATTTGAGAAAGATTTTGATAAAAAAATTAGTAGATTTTGATAAAAATTGATTATTGAAAAATAAAAATGATACATATATTAAGAAATACGTGATTAAAGTTAATTGAACTTTTAAACTTTCTTAATGTTGTTAAGCATATGAGAAATTAGAAATTGGCGGCTAATTTCACATTATTCGACCTTCTTTGGAAAAAAATATAATACGTGTCGACATGTCAGATCTGCTCACATTGTCATTGTGAGCGATTAAGCAGATCTGAGATAATCAGAAACAGGTAGTTTGGCCAAAGTAAAAGGGATAGGGACCAACTAGGGTAGCCTCTCCTGCAAATTCAATATTTTTTAGGGAAATTTAAGGCCAAGCTCCTCAACCTTCTCAAGTTACATTTGAGTCCTACATCTATTTATATTTACAAATCTGGTCCTCAGTGGTTGAAACTGTCAACTGAAACGTTAAAATTTAATGCAACTTTCGCACATTTTAAAATAAAGGAAAAAAATAATCAAAATACTTGCTAAAATTACAATGCAAATATAACGTCTATTTTGAAATTCATAATTTCAGATAACATTTTAAAGTAATTTAGAGATCTTAACTTATAAATTTTAGGGACCTATAAACATGCTGTCTAAAAATTGGGGTGCTCAGTCTTATTTTTTCCATATCTTAAGTGGGACCAAATCAGGAAAAAAAATGTTCTTGTACGGGTACGAATCAGTAAAATTACAGAAAAAGAAAAAAAAAAAAAACATTATGCGAAACAGACCGAGTACAACACAGACTCTTTCAATGTTTGTTAAGGTTTTGGTGTATATATAGGAATGCTTGTATTGTATGTCACCATTTTTCTTTATTCATTTTAGAATTCAATAGCCATGGGAATGATGAAGAAGAAAAAACTTAAAGATGATCAATTCATCGGAGTGCAGATTTTACAAGGTCTTTTTTTCCGTCGCCGCCGTCTCCTCAGCCACCTTCTCCCTCTTGTATCAGCCGTCTCCGGCTTCCTCCTCTTCCTCTTTGCCGTTCTCTCATTTATCTCTCCTCCCATTACCAATCACCATGGCCGCCACCACCACCTCAGCCTTAACTCCTCGGTATTGGACTAACATTGTTTTTCTCACCTGTTTTTACATGTGTGTTTTTATTATTTTTTGGTGTTTGATTCGTGCGTTTGGTGTTCGTAAAGGTAAACATCGATATAATCGAGGTTCAGATGAATGCCAAGAAAGAGAATGTTTTTCGAGTACCGGTGAGTGTCCAGATGATTTTTCATGTTCTTTTTTATATGCTATGATTTGATTGCACTTCTCATATTATTGCATCTGCATTTTGTCTTTAAATTTTTATGGATTTTCCGAGTAGGTGGGTGGAGGAATAGTAGACCGCGAACTATGGACTTCAAACGAATCCAAACTCTTTCACGGTTGCAGTAATGCCGGCGATAAGTTTGTAGGTACTACGTCGTTCTCTGTATATCTAATTTTTAATGTGTATTCATGTGCCTGCATGCTCATATATGAGTGATCAAACGAATTTTATTGGAATTTCAGTCAGGGATTTTCTCAGTTTACTGGTTTTGATTTGTTTTGCAAAATCACTTGTTGCAGCTGCCGAGTTGAATACACAATCCAATCGGTATTTATTAATTGCAACGAGTGGAGGCTTAAATCAACAGAGAACAGGGGTAAGCCATTTGTTCGTGAAGGTTACATTTTTTCAAAATAATTGCTCTATTTGAGGTCTCAGTGATGCAGAATGGGAGAGAGAAGAGTGAAACAGAGAAGAGAATTCAATCTGTCAATATATCAATAATCAATTCAATAGTCCACAAAACTGAAACTTTTAATTGATAATTTAATACAAAAAATTCATCGAAGGAAATCCTAATTGATCTTTTAATTCTACTTCATAAGGTGTATTTTAGTTTCCTTTAGCTTGTTCTCCTCGAGATTCTCGTGCAAGAGTTTCTTGTAATTGGTGGAGGGAAGCCAGTGCTACATTTGTAAAGATTATGCAAGTTTAATCAGTGTTGTTGTTCTTACTTAGCCCTCCAATTATACCTGTTATGCCTGCAGATAACAGATGCTGTTGTTGCAGCCTATATCTTGAATGCTACCTTAGTCATTCCTAAGCTGGACCAAAATTCTTACTGGAAGGATACCAGGTTTGTTGATAAATTCAGACTTAGCAAATTCAATTCTTAGAACTAAGAAACAACTTTTAATTTTCATTAATTCGATGAGTTGTTTGTGGCAGCAACTTCTCTGAGATCTTTGACGTTGACTGGTTTATGACATTTTTGTCGAAAGATGTCAAAATTATCAAACAGCTTCCAGAAAGCGTGGTTAAAGTAATAACTACACGAGTTCCTAGAAAATGCACCCCGAAATGCTATGAGACTCGTATCTTGCCCATTTTTAATAAGAAGCATGTAAGTCCTTGACATCATTCATAGAAATTATTTTTACTGATTATATCTGTCTGTATCATGCATTCTACTATTGAGATAATCGGGCTAGATAAAGTATGGATTACAGATCCTGGAAGAGTACTTATACTTCCATAGCTGGTGGTTTCCATTTAAAATGCTTAGAAATTAGACTAGAGCATGGATCATGGTTGTTCTATTGCTGCCTCACCATGGATGCCAGCACTAGATACCAGTTGAGTTTACCTGGCTAATCTGAAACCACTTTGCTGTACACTCAAAACTAGTAATTAATTGAGAGCAGAAGTCATTAAAACAGGCCATTTTTCATTTAGTGAACTGACTATTTTGTGAAGGATTGAAATAATAATCAAAGGACTTTGAAAGGTACTAAGGGGTTATATTTTGCGATAAAAGAAGTTTATTGACAATAGAATGCTGTGGGAGTTGGTGGACGGAACGGAATCAAAGATTGATTAGGAGGTGAGGGCCTATGGAAGGTCCAATTCCAGGGTGTTCAGGATGACTACTCTGTTTTGAATTTAATGTTTGACATTTGGCCAAATGTTGACATGATGGTTTTTGCTGTTAATCTTTTGTAGACTTCCAAATATTTTTTCGAAACGTCAGTAATTTCAAAACTGAATTGGGAACAATGTCTGTTTCTCAGGTGCAGGCTGTTCAGCTTACAAAGTTTGATTACAGGCTCTCAAATCGACTTAACACCGAGTTACAGAAACTGAGATGTAGAGTTAATTACCATGCTTTGAAGTTTACTGATCCTATACTTGAGATGGGTAGAAAATTGGTTGAAAGGATGAGACTGAAAAGCAAGCATTTTGTTGCCTTGCATTTAAGGTATGAAAGTTATTAATCTCAACCGCATTCTTAAATTCATAGTTGTTAATTTTTCAGATTTCTATAATCATGTCTTGTCCGTTTGGTCTTTAATCATGCTACATTGATACTTCTAGTTGGATGGGATGATAACGTTGCTAAAGTAGGGCATTAACTGTTCAGCAAGCTTGTCTGCAGCAAGTTCATGTACATGCATGATAATCTCATTGAAAGTAAACAAATAAGGAAAAAAAGATAGCTCTGACTAGTATTTAAGTGTACTGAATGAGAATCTTTTGAAATATAAATACATGCTGCTGTGAGATCATTTACTTGATATCACACCAGGGGAGCTGATAATGAATTTTCAATCAACGGATTCGAATCTGATATGCTAGCTTTCTCTGGATGCTATTATGGTGGAGGAGAGGGAGAAATGAAAGACTTTGGGGTAATACGAAAGAGGTGGAAAACTTTACATGTGAGTCAATCATCCTATTATAAAACTTCAACTTTGATCTAAACGGGAAAAAGAAGAAACGAAAAAAAATAAAAGAAATAAAATAGAGCCTGCCTTACCGTTAACTATTTTGGCATGATATGCAGATGAAAAATCCTGACAAGGAAAGAAGGCAAGGAAGATGTCCACTAACTCCCGAGGAGGTTGGCCTGATGTTGAGAGCATTGGGTTTTGGTAACGACGTTCATATATATGTAGCATCTGGTGAAATATATGGGGGTGAAGAAACTTTGGCACCTCTGAGAGCTCTTTTCCCAAATCTTCATTCCAAAGAGACTATTGCCAGCAAAGAAGAGCTGGCAGCACTGTCATCATATTCTTCTCGCATGGCTGCATTGGACTTCATTGTTTGTGATGAAAGTGATGTTTTCAGCACCAATAACAATGGAAACATGGCAAGAATGCTCTCTGGTAGAAGGTAAATTATTCTTTATTTTTTCTTTTAAAGTTTTCACTCTGAATCTCTAGCATCAACTATAGATCTGTTTTTGTTGAGGAATATTTCAATTTGTTGGGCAAATTATTATCAAATGACCTTCTCGGGTTATGATGTTAACTCGGTATATATATCAGTCGGCATCGACCAAATGACTGAACAGTAAATCGAAACCACAATTGAAATGATCCAATCCAACAGTTAATTTGGCAATTTGAAGTTGCCTCATTTAATTGGATAATATTATTTGTACACAATAAAGTCACACCCCCCTCATATAGAGGGAGGCCCATGAATATGTGGGCCTCCCTCTATGTGAGGGTGGTGTAATGCATTGTGTACACCATGAGGTGTACACATAGTATTTTTCAATTTAATTAGTGCTGCTTCTTGCCCGTTCTTCACTTACTTGGACAGCTAATAGTTGGGAATCTACTTGATAACCCACTTACTATCTATTGGGCCTTTGAGTGACCTAATGTACTTACCTTATTTACCCATTTTGCTTGGTTATATTCTCGTGCTTCCTCTGCCTCCATATGAGCCGCATGATTTTTGATTGTTTTCTCTCGTTCTCTCTGCCCGTTGCTGCTTCACTCACTTCACTGCCTTCATGGTCATCTTCTTTGTGATCTTACCTTCCTTTGTGGTGGTTCTTTAAGTGTGTGAGCCTTAAGCAACCGTAAGTGAGAGTTTGAGGAGTTTTGGGTCGGTTTTTGTTGGAAAACTGAGCCCGGTAAAGTCTTGGCGGCCTTCATCTTCCACACAACACAATTTTAATACCGGCAAGAAAAATGACGACTGAGTTTCTTGTTGCAGGAGATATTTTGGCCATAAACCAACAATCCGCCCAAATGCTAAAAAGCTTTACAAACTTTTCCTGAATCGGGATAATATGACATGGGAAGAATTTGCCTTGCAAGTCCGAAAATTCCAAATTGGATTCATGGGAGAACCAAATGAAGTACAGCTTGGTAGGGGCGAGTTTCACGAAAACCCATTTCCATGCATATGTAAAAATTCTGAAGCAAGCGCTGCAGAAAATATAAGTTCTCAAAGCTGGGGATCGGTGAGTGATGAACTGTTCAGTGAAGATGATGAGCTATATTCATCAGAATTAGATTATGTGGAAGATGGTATATAGTAGTCTTATATAAAAGATTATGGTCTCTTTCCAAAAGTAGTGCCACCAGAAGAAATGATGTTGGACTAAATCTAGATAGAGATTAGCAGTCTGCTGCAGTTAACTCGATTTTTGCATCATATTCTTGCAACTCGCTGAAAGATGACAACCAAAGTGGTGTAAAAACAGTAAGTGTTCTTGTTGTATATATGGTCTTTGCCAACTGAAGATATAATTTATGAATTTTGGCGATCAACGTGCATTTTTGAGACATGATGATGAACTGCTACAGTTTCGGTTTAGAGAATTCTGTAAATTAAGACACATCACCTCACCTATAGGGAGGACTGTTATCTTTTGAATTCATTTTATTACAACTCCTTTGCCTTAATTTGAGGGCAAGAAGATGTTTATATGTGATAGAATGGACGTGAACCTTTCTGTATTCTTTTTATGAAAAATTTTCATTTTTTTGTTCTTAATCTTTGTAAACTAATAGTGTTGTATATCTAATAAATAGGTAGTAGTTATAAATGTGTGATTAAAATTAGAATAAGGCTTCTTGTACATTATTTGCTTGACATGGAGTTTGACACTCCATTGTTTTCAAATGTTTTCCAAAATGGAATTGGTGGGAAAGTGTGTTTTTTTAAAAAACTGTCCAATATGATATCGTCACGTGGTACAATGTAAAACTTAATGTCAAACTCAATGTACTTGTAGCATGATTCTTGAAATTAATATGACTTTGACTGAGCTTAAAAATAATGAAATCATAACAGAAAAATAATTTTTAAATAACTTTTAATTTTACATTAAAGTTGCTTATAATCACCTAAATCTTTTATTTGCAGGGCCTGGGCCAGTAAAAACATAAAATAATAATAATAATAATAATAATAATAATAATAATAATAATAATAAATTTAGCACTTATTATTAAAATTTTGACTTGAGTGAATGATTTGCTCCGTTCACAGATTTGCTAGGCAATTAAAAAGAAATAAAATTTAGCTCGTTATTAATTAAAGTATCAAAACTTACACTAAATTGTTTGTCCTAATAAAAATTTAGCTCATCAAAGCAAGCAAACATATGATATAGCATTCATCCTCCACTATGCAATTTTTATCTTTTTCTGTATCCGACACATAGATATTATAATGCAGGACAATACCAAGACAAAATGCGAACTCAATTAGGAAAAGAAAGAAATAAGATAAAGATAATTTCTTTATTAGGAAATTTGTATTTAACTCTATCTTTTCTGGTTGTGTTTATCTTTTTTAGGTATAATTGTGATAGAATTTTTATTTTTAAATTAAATAGGATTATAATTTCTTTATTGATTAAAATATGAATTTTATTTAGATTAGGATTTTATTATTTCCTTATATTAATAAGATTATGGGATAATTTTGTCTATATATAAGGGCTTTGTATACTTTTTAGAGTTCAGTTTCATTATTCGATTCTTGTTTAATAAAATATTTTAGTTTTTTAATTATTGGTGGATTCCAAATAATTATCACATTCGTTAGAGCGGAATTCGAGCAAATACTCGTTCGTGTGTTACGAACAAGACACTTTTATTATTATCTACATTTTCATCCACGGAAACACAACTGAGGAAATGTGTCATATTTGCTAGTCTCAATCAAGGACTTGTTCTCCACTGTACAAAATAATAGAGGGAAAGCCCTGCTTAAACACGCATTTGTCCGTTGTCCAATGTTTGGTCGAAGGGATGTGCTACACGAACATAGAGCTTGACACGGCGGTTGACATAGCACTCACACATTGGGAGGTCAGTATTATTTTATTCATAAAGTCCCACACTTCGACTGTGAGTGTTATGTCAACCACCGTGTCAACGACTATGTTCGTTTGGCTTTTTCCTTGATGGAAATAGGACAATTTGATTTCTATATATTTAATTTGAAGTAAAAGGATTCACATCGTTATATGGGATTTCGGGTATCCAGCCAATAATGTGCATATGGTACAAAGTATGACTCGTCTCTCTCATATACTTATGATTTAAATTTAGCGATAATTGCAGCTGCATTATCAATCCTTTCAATTGCGTGCGTCTAGAATCCGGATGAAAACCATCCATATTTATGTTCGTTGACCAAAAAATTAAGTTTGAACCACAATTTTAATATTTTTATAAAGAGCAAAATAGTAACTTCTTGTTTACCACATTAAACAATTAAAATAATTAAATGAAAGTTTAGTGCCAAAGGACGTCTAAGACTGAGGAGGTCTATTATTGAGAGAAATGAGAATCTCGTCTTGCTTGCACAGAGAAAAGCAATTGGACCACCTTTTCTAGCAAGAAAGTGAGCGATCACTCAACAAAGACTAACACAAAGCGGCCGGAAATTGAAAGAGGAAAATAGGAATTGTAATCTCTTAGTGTGTTGTAGTTAACCTCATGTCGTAATTTTTTGATTGATAAATTTAAAATTGTTTAGATCAAAACTTATGTATAAGTACACCGAGCATATTTGGACTTACAAAATCTTACTAAATCATAAGATGTACCAATGGTACGATCTAACCGCCCAAAGTTAGGGACTCAAAATGGATCAAAATATTAGGATATAATATAAACATAACTTTGTATACATGTGTTTTGATCTATTTTACAATACTATTGGAGTGTGGCATAAAATCTTCAAATATTTGTCTATTTCTTGCCATTCAAATGTAGTAGACAGTACTAGCTAGTTCGATTCTCTTCGCTATACTTTGCTAAGAAGTTCCACGAGCCTCATTAGACACTGAGTGTGTAATACCCATCCGCTATTGGATCTAATTACATGTCGAAATTGATCTACTAGAATTTGCCTCATGCTATGCTTGACTGCCGAGTATGATGTCTCCACGGATTTTCCTTTTCAAGCTGCTTTTCAGCCCTTTGAGAATAAATTGAATAGCAATAAATATTATTAATTGGTGCACAGTATTTTCTACTTTCTATATTTTCTTATCTCAGTTGTCCTGTGATTATTCAATTGATTTTAACTAGTACGTGAAAGGCAGATAATTACCTTTCAAATCAGCAGTGTCCATTACATGCATGATTAAGACAAAGTGAGAATCGTGTGATGCTAGTGATTAAATTTAATGCGAACGATTGTGGAGTAGAAGAGACAATGAAAGGTAGGGGATAACGATTTGAATGGAAATTGGATAGTAGGTGTATCGACAAATGTTTAGAAAGTGCTGCAGAATTTTATATTGGCTAATAAGTAATGGAATTACGGAGATTGGATTAACTTTTTGAGATGAAATTTTCCTTTCAAATAGTTGATTACATGGAATAATCAAGGACGGATCCATGATTTGGATCTAAGACCAGGTTAAAAAATTTCAAAGTGGGCTAATACGCGAAAAAAAAAAGATAATAATAAAAATAAATAAATAAATTTACCCTTAAAAAAACTTCTTGGTCTTCAGTAGGGTGGCGGGGGGGGGGGGTACAACCCAACCCAATCCCCCCAAATCCGTCCCTAATGTGGATGCGCAAGATATATTCCCAATTGTAGCTGGACAAATATGCTGACCCCTGAATTGGATGGTGATGGTAAGAAAACTACGTGGTTGGCTCTCAAAAGGTAGTTGTAACAACGCAAGGTTGCAGTCTATGATGCTGTGGAAGAAAACTTGGGCTAACAGATAGATTGTTTGGGAAGCTGGGGGGGGGGGTGACGGAGATTTGGTTCTTTGTTCGAGAGGTATTGTTATTAAAGAAATGAGGTTACAAGGAATTTATCTCTCTACTACTTTATGAGTAATGTATGAGCATGTTTGAATTGTTAGTTGATTCAAGATTATCATTTGAGAGTGGCGCACTGACACCTTCATAAAGTATTCTGAATCTTGATGCTATTCAATAACTATTTTTTGGTCTATATATATTTAAGAGTAATGTTGCGTAGTACCAGTAATGCAAGCACTAGTCTATATGATAGTGGACATTTTTAAGATGCACTGTAATTCATTGGATGGTAAGACAATGGACCTTGCTACCTACATTATTCAGTGGATAGTATGTGGATCGTCATTTTGTTTGGTTAGCCATTTTTATGCGGCCATCAGCCTTGTATTTATAGGACCACTTACTTTCATTTTATTTAGTTGGGCTTTTATTATGGGTAGGTCCAAGCCCTTAACTATTAGGTCTATCATCTATGTTTTGTCTAATTATATGCTTCAGTTGATTAATGAACGTTTGGCCCACTTTCCCACCCCACTTTCCCCCCTTTCTCCTCTAACGTGCTCCCTCTCTTCCTCTTTTCTTCTTCTCCTTCTTGCTGCGGTTCTAGTATGCAACTTCTTCTTCTCAATTGATTTTACATCACATTTGAATAATCTCGTGACACTCACCTACCATACTTTCAGGGCATTTGAAAGATATTGCAGATCCTACCAGCCTGTTTTTTATTTATTTATTTTGCAGATAATTATTTGTGCAATCCTGCACGTCACTCGTGGGGGTGATTATATTCAATTAAAATTAGAATGTCAATGCCCCTCGTGCACTAGAATAAAATATTGATTAATGTAGAGACAATTAGAAGAATATTAGGTGTTTCCATTTCCACGCCAACATGGTTATTGCATATTAGATGTTTTGTCTACTTTTATTAGTGCATCTATGTAGAATTATTCTTTGCTCGTTCTCTTAATAAAATACTTTGACAACTCAGTACATCAACTATCGTTAGTAAATGAGAATGCGTTGTCACTTGCAATGTGCATCATTCCATTTGCTAACAAGACTCGATTAACCATTGAGACTACGAGATGGAAAATGGGGACAGACGAATGTGGTTTCGTCCCCAAGGAAATTTTTGGGAACATATGAAGTCCTAGGTCCAGGCAGGAGGAATAATAGTGCTGGCATTTTCATTGTTGAGGAGGCAGGATATATAACAATTGTGCGTATATTCATCAATTAGTCGCATGGATCATTCTCCAAAACTTTTTAATATGACATGATTAATGATCTTGTTCTCTGTTGGTGGCAAACAGTGCAGGGACATAGCCAGTATAGTAGGTAAATCTAGACCAAAATCATGTTTGCTCGTTTAAGACAACATAAATCAAGAATCCTATTGTCCCCTTCATCCTAATATGTACACGTAAAGAACAAAATGAAAGCATTACCTTTGAGATCGAAAGCCCTTAATTGTGTCCGTTCTCTTAGCTTTTCCGTTGGATCACATCTGTCCATCACTCAAGTTTACGACAACTTGTCATCAATGAGAGACCGAATGAGTTTTCTTGACAACTTGTATGACAATATCGACGAGTTGCTTCTGTTGTCTGACATTCAACGAATAATTTCACAAGAATTCTAAGATAAATGCGTTGATGAAATCATAGATAGGCATATCTTGGACGCTTGTGAAACAGCTAAAGATCTTTTCTCACTCAAACACAAGGCAAAATGTAGAAAACCTTTCTGCTCTCGGAGGAAGGGATGCAAATGATTTTCATGTCTACCTGACCTCCAGAATAGACTTGAAAAGATGATTAAAAACTCTCTTAAAATCAGTAACCAACAATTTCCAAGCCTATGACGAGAACAATCAACACGAAAAATGGTGATTTGTATCTGTTAAATGAAGCCGAAGCAGTAACTCTGGCCACGCTATAGTCTCTGTTGGCCTACATTACCAAGACAAAGCAGGTTGCATTGAGGCAGAATTGTAGGTCTTTGATATCTAAGCTGATGCACCGCAAGAAAGTATCCACTCAAGATGAAGTAACAGAATCAAATGAGTTATCAGTCATGAAACAAACATATAAGAAGATGTACAAGTGGATCAACTTATAAATCTCTTGAAAAAGATGGAATCAAGAATTCGAATTCTTGAAGAAGGGCTAGAAAGCCTGTCTGAAGATTGATCAAAACCTGAGTTCATCTCCTCAACATTCTCAACCACTAGTACCCGTGATGCAATTAGCACCCAAAATTTGTGCGTGAGAGAGAAAAATTGACGTTGATACTAATGTAGATGAAAATATACCAGTATATATCAGTCCACAATCAATTATAAAAGAAAACATATACCATTATGCTGCATGACTCCTTTAGTTTCTTGATCTAACCATTTGGGGGTAAGTCGAATATAATTATCCATACTACTAGGTATCATAATTATGAATTTTTCACGCTTATGTCTCCGACATTTACATCGCAGTTTTCTCAACTTTTCATTAACTAAAACATATTGTCCCCAAATCACGGTTTCATCCGAAAATTATGTTAAGATGGAGCAAAAGACTTATTTGTCCCTTGTACTTTTTAAATATGAAGAAAACAATAACTAAATATTTATTCCTCATTTTAAAACATGCTTATAAAATTATTAGATAGAAACTATTATTGGGGACAAAATATGCTAATCAATGAAATGTTAACAATATATAAGATTGTGATGAAAAAAGATAAAGAGGCATAAATCTAACAATAAAGGTTATAGACCGTTGGTGAAATTAAAATGTAATGAATTTATAAAAAAAAAATATTGTATCAAAATAACCCCCCTTTTAAAAATTATATTACAATTTCCTGATTTTTGATGCTTTAAAAATAACTGTAGTATCATCCCCCCCCCCCCCCCCGCACCCCTCCTGCATATATTACCGTCCCTAGTCTCTAGATCGTCAAAAGGGTCGGGTCCGGCTGGCCCTTTCATTGGTGCATTCAGCATGAATGTGATAGGTCCGGGTTGGCTTGTATCCCATAGCGGGCCTTGCCGAGCATGTCCCATTTTTAAAGTGTCAGCTTGGCACAATGTCAACTTGTGTTGGATTTGTTAACGATAAATCCCACATTAAATAAAGATGAAAACATAGACCAACTTATAAGAATTTGAATTGCATTTTTAAATAAACTTGACCTTTTAAGATGTATTCTTAAATCTTAATATGGTATCACATCGAAATAAGGATATGTGGTTTGTGCTACTCCTTTTAATAAGGTAGATGGGCCCTCAAATCTTAATATGATCAATTTGATGTGAGTCTACATTAGAAACACAAAATTTTTAAACATGCCTACAAATTTTTTTCTGTTTACTATTAACCAAAATTCAATTTTATTATTAAAATTTGGGAAAATTGCAGTCGAGGTACCAAACATTTCGTTTAGTAGCAAACTTTGTCCAAACCTTTCATTTGTGCCACTCACAGTCCCAAACCTTTCAAAAATATGCATCGGGGGTCCAAATGGATGGAAACCATCCGTTTGACCGTTAGTTGACCAATAAAATTGAATTTTGACCAATTTTTGACCAACTTAAAAGGGTAGAAAGGTAAATTTGACCAACTTAAAAAAATCATCTTCTTCCTCACCTCACCCTCACCCCACCCCCACCCAACCTAAACTAACCTGCAGAAGATGGAACCCCACCCCACTGCCCAAATCCGCCGCCCAAAACCAGATACGGTGACACCAACTCCCGTCGACCAGCCACAGCCATAAAACGAACTGCCACCACAACCATCAAACCTACACCAAAAACCCCATTCCACATTGTGTAACAGTGAGCAACCACGACCAAAAACTAGAAATAAAATAAAAAAAAAATATTGCCAGATTTCATGGTTGCAGAAAATTCCAATTTGAACTCCGATTCAAGATTTGAAATAAAGTGTATTTATCGATGAGATTTAAAATCAATTGGAACTCCGATTCAAGATTTTCAACCATACTTCTCGTTTGTGAGTATTATTAGAAATATTGTCAAATTTGAAGGTTGCAGAAAATTCCAATTTTCTCTGACTAACAAAATTAGAAAGAAAATTAGAGAGAATGGATTGTTATGGTTAGAGTGGGGAGTGGGGGTGTGTGGTATATAAGAAATATGGGGGTTGATGATGTTGTTGAAAAAGAGGCGATTCCATCTTTTGTAGGTTAGTTTAGGTTGGATGGTGGTGCGGGGTGAGATGAGGAAGAAGATGATTTTTAATTCTTATTTCTTCTCTCTTTTTTATTTTATTTTGTTTTATTTTTATTTCTAGTTTTTAAAATTATTTTATGTATATAATAGCAAATTTACCATTTTACCCATTTTAATTTGGTCAAAATTAGCCAAAGTCCACATTCCTTGGTCAACTAACAGTCAAACGGATGGAAACCGTCCATTTGGACCACATGTGCATATTTTTGAAAGGTTTAGGACTGTGGTTGACACAAATGAAAGGTTAGAGCAAAATCTGCTAATAAACGAAAAGTTTGGTACCTCGACTGCAATTTTCCCTTAAAATTTATTTTGATGTGTATTTCTATGTTAGAAACATTTTGCCAATCGACTTATGTTAAGATTTCCAATAATGAAATTTATCTATAAAAACAGAAGTCAGGGGGGAGAAGTGGCAACCTTCTGGTGAGTGTTTTTCAAGCTGAATACTGATGCTGCTGTACCATGGAGGTCGAGATTTTTTCGAGATTGAGGCGGTGTTGCGAGCACATGTGGTATCTATAAAGGGTAGCAGGTGAAGAAACATAAATAAGATTTAAAAAAAAAAAAATGCACATTGCATCATCAGAGAATAGACAATAATGGGGGAGAAAGTACTGTGTTGTCTTTTTCTTATTGGAAGAGACAGACACAGCACTCGTGCATCTATAATATCGAGTTAATTAAGGATTATATAATCTTGTCATATCATGATAGATAATGACATTACTCGACTAATTAATTTTCTAATTAAATGGATGAGTTGTAAAACTGGTGGTGAGGGAGACATTGCGTAAACAATGCGCAGATCCAAATCCATATCGATATATTTGGTATTAGTTAAACAATTTAAGATTCTTCATGTCTCATTTCACTTCTTGATATAAAACCGTCAAATTAAAGCTAAGATTGAATCATTTTTCTTCAAGTTCTATACCGTCAAAGAAATAGCAAATAAAATGGCTTCCTCTCCTATGAGATTGAGGTCTAAAACCCGGTATCATGCTCGTTCTGTTAGCTTTCCCTCTCGATCACATCCTCTTATTTCTCAATTCAATGATTGCCTTTTAAGACTAGAATTAGATTCCGAGGCTACATCTTATTCACCTAACTTGCCATCAATGAGCAACAAACTGAGTAGCTTTGAGAATTTATACGATTGTGTGGATGAATTATTGCATTTGCCACATACTCGACAAGTTTTTTCTCGAGAATCACATGAGAAATGGGTCGATCAAACATTGGAAGGACATCTTGGGCTTTTGGATGCTTGCAACACTACATTCAGAAATTGGGCATATTGGCTTGCCAAATTGGTGAGATTCTCTAGCCAAGGGCTACACAATTGCGTCCAGAAAGAGTCTTGGGTCCAGTCCATGCTATATGGAGGCACCTGTAGCTCTGCCAAATTCGTCTCCACGTTGAAATTGGGTGGTAACACAAGATTAGTTGATGTCTTCTTCTCTTCACTTATTCCTGTTGCCTCAAAATATTTCTCCTCTAAGTCTTCATTTTCCTGGTTGAATACTCCATCAATTTGATCGCAGAATGAAACGGCATCCATGGCCATGGGTATTGGGGTTAATGGATATTGGTATTCCTCAACTTTGAGTATTTCTTCTTCCATCGCTGCAGCCCTTTGCTCCAACACTTTCAGAGAGGTTGCCTTCCTATATATCTTACACAACACTATGTCCTGAAAATTCCGACGAATTTAAAAATTTATTAGTAATCTTGTCTGTACTACATAAAATGATTGTGGAAGTAATCATCATATAAATACCTTGGGCAAGGAGCACGAATCTGGCAAGCGATACTCGTTCATGATCCAATCAGTCTTTAACGGTCGAGGTGCTCTACCCTCGTAAAATACCAGTGTTTTCTTCAGCCCCAAAATCTTCTTAGGATCCGATATGCTTACTATTTTTCGGTCTGATCCGGTAGCTTTCCAGTACCCATTCTGAGTAGTCCTATTAGGTCTTCCTCCACTCCCATGTTTTCTGTCCCTAGGCACAAAGAAGTACCACTCTCTCTCCCCAATTTTCGCCAGCCCTGTTTCATAAAAACAAATTAGCTGCTGATAATTAAACATTTAAGAGCTAGAACCAAAGTCAAGTACCTGGTAACTCCCTAGGATGATGATCGTAAATATTTAAAAAGCTGATGATATCGGTGCGCAAAATTTCTGGAACCAAAGTCAAGTACCTGGTAACTCCCTAGGATGATGATCGTAAATATTTAAAAAGCTGATGATATCGGTGCGCAAAATTTTGCCAAAGATAGTATTCTTTAGGTAGAAATTAAGGAGCTCTTCTTCAGTGGGATGGAAACGGAATCCGGGCAGCTCGAACTCGGATTTTGATTCATCCATAGTATTTTTCTTTACATGCAGAAAACACTGCATTATGAAGAGATATTTATAGTTTAATCGTGGCGAGGCTATGTCACTGTGGGGCACTGATTATTCACGCGGTTATTGTACGATAAACTATTGACCTCACTTATCAATTCCTCTTAACTCATGGCAACTAGATAGAATGTTCAATTTTTTTGAAATGAAATAGAAGTTTAGATTTTCTACCAACACGTACTCTATGATAAAAAGGGAAAAATTGCAACAGCGATCCCTAATCTTTTCAATTTTTACAAATTTTATCTTAACTTTCATTTTGTACCAATAAAGGTCCTTAACCTTCTATAAATATGCAGCTGCAGTCCAAATGTTAAACAATCAATTTGATTATTAGTTGACCAAGAAAAGTGGGTTTTGACCAATTTTGATTAAATTGAAAAGAGTAAAATTATAAGTTTAAAGTTGCCACATTAAAGAAATAAACAAAAAATTAAAAAAAAACAAAAACAAATAAAAAATGGTTTCTCCTTCACCCTACTCATCCCCATCCTACCCTCCCCTCCACCCCCCCACAACTAAAAATCAACCACCACCACTGACCGCTACCTCCGAACCACTACCACCACCACCAGTTATCTTCTTCACCAACACTCACTCACTCACCCCACCCTCACCGCACAACTAAAAATCAGCCACCACCACTGACCGCTACCTCCAAACCACCACCACCAGCAATTATCTTCTTCACCAACACTCACTCACCCCACCCTCACCCCCTAAACCGCTCCGCCTATACATCTAGAGGTAATTATCAGATTTCCCACCCCAGCCTCTTGAGAAATTAGAACTCGGATTTTGATTCATCCATAGTATTTTTCTTTACATGCAGAAAACACTGCATTATGAAGAGATATTTATAGTTTAATCGTGGCGAGGCTGTGTCACTGTGGGGCACTGATTATTCACGCGGTTATTGTACGATAAACTATTGACCTAACTTATCAATTCCTCTTAACTCATGGCAACTAGATAGAATGTTCAATTTTTTTGAAATGAAATAGAAGTTTAGATTTTCTACCAACACGTACTCTATGATAAAAAGGGAAAAATTGCAACAGCGATCCCTAATCTTTTCAATTTTTACAAATTTTATCTTAACTTTCATTTTGTACCAATAAAGGTCCTTAACCTTCTATAAATATGCAGCTGCAGTCCAAATGTTAAACAATCAATTTGATCATTAGTTGACCAAGAAAAGTGGGTTTTGACCAATTTTGATTAAATTGAAAGGAGTAAAATGATAAGTTTAAAGTTGCCACATTAAAGAAATAAACAAAAAATTAAAAAAAAACAAAAACAAATGAAAAATGGTTTCTCCTTCACCCTACTCATCCCCATCCTACCCTCCCCTCCACCCCCCCACAACTAAAAATCAACCACCACCACTGACCGCTACCTCCGAACCACTACCACCACCACCAGTTATCTTCTTCACCAACACTCACTCACTCACCCCACCCTCACCCCCTAAACCGCTCTGCCTATACATCTAGAGGCAATTATCAGATTTCCCACCCCAGCCTCTTGAGAAATTAGTAACCCAACTCAAAATGAGGGGAAGTTTGGGGTGGAGTGGGAACTAGAAACGATATCCTTGCGCTTCTTGTGGAAAGTGGGTGTGAGATACATGTTGGCATCCTCCCTCGGATAGAAAGAAATCAATTGCTAGTCGGGAGTGACACGGTTGGAAGCCCACCAAAGCTTGATGCCCTGGAATTCATCGGTGACCTCTTCATGATCCGCTATTCTAAGAACTATAACTTGGTTGTCATGTACAACATTGGCCTTGAGATGCCTCACCCGCTTTGTAGAATTTTCATTTAGATACCTTTTGATGGAAGCAAATGCTGTGCTGTGATGAAATCCATCGCCTTGATATTTAGGAAATGTTCTTTGATATAAGGGTAAATGTGGCGGCCGGTGTTGGTGGCTGATTTTTAGTTGCTGGGCATAGGCTGGGGATGGGTAAGGTGAAGGAGAGACCTTTTTTTTTTTATTTTTTTGTTTATTTATTTAATGTAGTAATTTTAAACTTATCATTTTATCCCTTTAAATTTAGTCAAAATCGGTCAAAGTCCACTTTTCGACCAAGTTAATGTGAATGCAGTAGTAAATATTTTCTTTCTTTACATAACAGGATCCTAAATAGAAGTATAAGATTTAAACAGATCCTTGGCTAAAACTTAAGAAGTATAAAGACAATTACCCACAGGGGGCTCTAATGCCTTGTGGAAACAAATATGTTGCCCTTTATGCATTGTGCTCTTTTAATAATTAACCTTCTTATTTCTTTTATTATGGTGAGAAGATAAAGACAATTTCTCAGTTTGTCCAAGATTCAGAAATATAATAATTAGTAACTGTAAAAAAGACAAAATTCATCTCCTAATGATATTAATCGTCATATAGTTGTGTGTAACTAGTGGAGCAAATTTGTCATTCCATTTCTCTGGCAAAGTAAATTTGATGCTTGAGCAGTGAGCACAAGTCGTCCTCTTCTTTTCTTTTTTTTTTTTTTTTTTTTTTTTTTTTTTTTTTTTTTTTTTTTTTTTTTTTTTTTTTTTTTTTTTTTTTTTTGGTTTTTTAATTTTTTTGTTTATTTATTTAATGTAGTAATTTTAAACTTATCATTTTATCCCTTTAAATTTAGTCAAAATCGGTCAAAGTCCACTTTTCGTGGTCAACTAACGGTCAAATGGACCGCAACTGCATATTTATGAAAGGTTAAGGACTTCATTGACACAAAATGAAGGTGAAAATAAAGTTTGCAAAAATTGAAAACGTTAGGGACCGTTGTTGCAATTTTCTCTAAAATAATCACCTTTGAATTAGTCATAGGGACTGAAATATACTAAATTTTGATTGTCAAGAGAAAGGGCAATATGTAACAAGTTACAATATTAATTTCAAAGATTATGTCGAGATTAGAGTAATGATCTGTAGTGGTAGCACGACTATTTAGGTCATCTCCAACGCTGCACCAAATTTTGCACTAAACTAAAATTTATCTCCAACCATTACAACAAAATTTACATAGAAAGAAATCAATTGCTAGTCGGGAGTGACACGGTTGGAAGCCCACCAAAGCTTGATGCCCTGGAATTCATCGGTGACCTCTTCATGATCCGCTATTCTAAGAACTATAACTTGGTTGTCATGTACAACATTGGCCTTGAGATGCCTCACCCGCTTTGTAGAATTTTCATTTAGATACCTTTTGATGGAAGCAAATGCTGTGCTGTGATGAAATCCATCGCCTTGATATTTAGGAAATGTTCTTTGATATAAGGGTAAATGTGGCGGCCGGTGTTGGTGGCTGATTTTTAGTTGCTGGGCATAGGCTGGGGATGGGTAAGGTGAAGGAGAGACCTTTTTTTTTTTATTTTTTTGTTTATTTATTTAATGTAGTAATTTTAAACTTATCATTTTATCCCTTTAAATTTAGTCAAAATCGGTCAAAGTCCACTTTTCGTGGTCAACTAACGGTCAAATGGACTGCAACTGCATATTTATGAAAGGTTAAGGACTTCATTGACACAAAATGAAGGTGAAAATAAAGTTTGCAAAAATTGAAAACGTTAGGGACCGTTGTTGCAATTTTCTCTAAAATAATCACCTTTGAATTAGTCATAGGGACAGAAAATGACTTTTAATTCTTGAATAATTATGGTCATAAAAAATTGTGGGTTTTCTCCGCACCTTCAATTAAAAATCACTCAAACGTGGAATGACAACTTGACTCGTCACATCTCGGCTTCGACTTGATTGGAGATATAGGCGATGAATGGTTGAACGCTCCTTCGATCCCACCTACTTCAAAGAGGATTAAACCACAAAATGGTACACCTATTTTTTTTTTTTTTTTTACGATGTGACAAATGATTGTGAATAGATATGATCTTAACCGCCATTGTTTCTTTTTGGTGGTCTATAAGTAGTCTAGCATGTTGAGTTCAAGCACTAATTTCGATTGACCATTTGACAAGGAGGTTGAATTGAATTTTCGACATTAATTTGTTGATCATAATATACTTTATGCATCATAAGTTCAAAACATTATTATGGTTAAATCAAGCTTTTCTAGAAAGTCGTGTATACTTTGAACACAAAATTGTATTGAAGTTGACCTTAATTTATTCTCTCAGATGTAAATTAATTTATAGATCATCAGTTTCAGATACTATAAATTAGTCAAAATTGAGGAATTCCAATAGCTTGTTCAAGTATCAAAGATTTGAGAATTGGTTTGATTGAACGACTACTGAAACCATGGAAGGCCTAATAGATGGGAAGCTTAATTTTTTCATAAAGACACCTCGCAATTTCTATACTAAATTTTGATTGTCAAGAGAAAGGGCAATATGTAACAAGTTACAATATTAATTTCAAAGATTATGTCGAGATTAGAGTAATGATCTGTAGTGGTAGCACGACTATTTAGGTCATCTCCAACGCTGCACCAAATTTTGCACTAAACTAAAATTTATCTCCAACCATTACAACAAAATTTACACCAAATGAACAGTATTTTATTATTTTATTCATTCTTTCGATTTTTGACAATGTATTTATTTAAATAAATTATTTATCTATTTTATAACTATATAAATTACTAAATTATAACTAAGTTAAATTAACAAATATATTGAATTATTATTGATTACCAAATTATTCACATGTTTTATATATTATGTTAAATTGACGAAAATAATTGATTGTATTATTAATTTATTATAAACAATTACGTTAAATTTACAAAAATAATTACTAAATTAAAAAAGTCCTTAATTATTATTGATTATATTATTAAAAATAATAAACTTTAATAATATAATTAATAATGTAATTTCATCATCATCATATTTATTATAGAACGAAAATGACACAAATATTTTTAATCATTATCTTTGAAAAATAAAAAAGAAGAACAAAATGGACATTGTATCATTTTGTGCAACACAAACAATGTAGCATCATGTTACACCA